TTGTCTTGCAGATACTTTTCTTTGAATCTTTCGAATCTTAATTTTTCATCCCCCTACGGGTTCACAACTGTGAACAGCTGCAAAGTTCAATGATGCAGTTGTTAGATTTGTAGGGGTTTTACAGGTGTAGTTACTTTTATATTATTTGCTTACACTTGTCCAGGTTGAAGCAACGAATTTTGTAGACCCTCTCTCTCCTTCACGAATGTTTAGTATGGCCGCCCAAGCATCAACTATAGATACTGGAATCTCAGTATCTGGCGCCATTAACAACATATCTCTCCAGTAGATTACCCGTCCTTCATACCTGAATAGTTCCTGCTCCCTGGTAATAATGTATTGTATAAGCAACAAAAATATTAATACATCATTATTAAATCATACACCGAAGTTATAGCAGTAACACACCATTAGAAGTTAATATTTCATTTAAAGAGAATACACCAATATATATATAGAGATATACACTAATAACTATTGAGTATCACACAAAACCTAAGCAAACTAATGTGACCACCTGATGTGTCAACACAGACAACCATATAAACACACCAATAGTTATCAAATAATGCACTAGTTAATATATGATAATTATACACCAATATTATTATACAATGCACCAAATATATCTTAGAAATACACCAAGTAGAATGTGTTGTGCTTACAGTTCTGGGTTAGGGTTTTCTAATACCCATTGTCTGATTGATTCCTCTGTTGAAGTTATTGGGGCTTCCAGATCAGTTGCATATATTCAGGCCTTAGGTCTGATTGGGCTGTTCCCTCTAGCTGGTCTCTTTCCTTTGTCCAATGGTTGGGGTGGGGGTGGTGGATCTGAAGCAGGCCCCTCTTGAATTTTGTCTGCCGGTGTGACCTGTAACATTTAGATGTTAATTTTTTTTTCTTTTTGCCACGTCGCCACTTTAATACAGTGCATTACCTCATCATTGTTATCAGCAGGTGCATCTGGTTCAGCACTCTGTCCATCTTGTTGTCCTTCAGATGCTTCTTCACCCTCATTCATGTTCAGCTCTACTTCCTCATTTTCTGCAGCCTGATCAATGTTTTGGTAGTCTCGTGCAATATCATTCACGTCTGCCCATTGTCTATTTTGTTCATCTTGTGTCAATCCAAGGCTGAAAGATGGCATATAATTTAGAAAATTTCTCTTGTTTACTGCACGGACAATCTCATCTACTGCCTTCAAGAACTCAGGGTCACTCCAGTAGGCATCCTCTCGTTGAGTAAAGGTCAGTTCTCCATCATCTTGTGCTCTGAATCCAAGCATTTGCCTAGCAGATTCAAACATCTGTTTGAATGTATCATGCTCCAATACTGCTGCAAGTGCATTTTCAATTAGCTTTGATATTCTCAGTAGACTCTGTGCAATTGACCTAGTGTGGGTGGTAATCTCATCAACAAACTCCTGTACATGAAACACTACAGTATAAACACACCAATACATATTGTAATATACACCAAATATTTATAAAAAATACACCACAGTCAGATAATGCACCATATTACACACAAAATGCACCAATTACCATTGCAGTGGTTGGGTTACCTGTAATCCTTGTGGCAGTGGTGGGGTCTCTTCTTGTGGTGGGGGTGGGGGTGGGGCTTCACAGTGTGTTGTGATCTCCAGTGGTAAGGCAGTATCAACGCGTCCATATCTAAATCCTCCAGACTTGAGCTCATCCTGTTGTCGTTGTCGGAGCAATTTAAATGTCCAGCTATTCATGGCAGGGTAGCTTCTTGGGACAGACCTCCGGTAGAGCACCACACGTCAACATAGAATACCTGCATTTGGTAGTTTAGATTATTCATAGGGTGATGTGAAAGTAATTACAAGCTTGTTGAGTGTCTATTTACCGTTAGATAAACAATTGGACCTCCAAACCGTCCATCACAGCTCTCCAGCCATGCCTTTTTGCTTGCAATGAGTGAATTGATCAGCATTCTACACCAATTGAGCCTCTTGATGTTGTCAACTTGACGCAAGTTGTCAATGTAGCTTTGGTTCACATAACCATTTATCTGTGGCTCCACCAACACACTCATAACAAGTAGTGCAAAATGCCGTTTGAACCATGGGTCAGCAGCTCTCAATGTCAACATTTTTTTAGCCATCTTGCGTGGGGTGATGCGGCCGTCAGCCCTTCCAAAGATTTTTCTCCAGTCTGCCAGGAGATCAGATACTGCTTTACTTTCCCTCTTAGTGATTTCTATGTCTCCAAGCGGCAGTCCCAATGTCACAGCAACATCTTCTTCTGTGATCTGTAGTTTTTGGCCATTTTGCAGATTCAATGTGTTGCTCCTTGCATCATAGTTTTCAACCAGCCACATCCCCAGTTTCCTTGGAAGGTTTGTGATTTTGAGGTCAAGAATCCTTCCCAGCCCAATGTCTTTTATACTCTGGCGTTGTTGTTTGGTTAGGGCATTAATGGGTTTTGTTAGCCGTGTTGGCAGTGGCCTTATCTTTAGGTCAGTATCTTCATTCTCTTGCTCCAATGTATCTATTTCATCATTTGAGCTGTCATCAACTTCTTGTTCATGCACTTCTTCATCTGTCTCTGTTTCATCTTCTATTCTGTCAAGGAATGTCATTGCTTCTTGTTTTCTATGCCTCTGTGGCTTTGACGAGTCTCCTTGGTCTAATGCCTTTCTCTTGTTGTCTGAAATACACAAATGGTAGGAAAAAAATACACCATGCATAAAAATTAAACACACCACAACACTCTTTACCAATATTCAAGTTCCAAATCCCAGAAATCACCAATAATAAATGATATATACACTACATTGATGTTCACCATAAAACAAAACAACACGTAATGAAATGCCGAGCCTGTAATGCTCAAAAATACACCAACTGTAGGATAAATATGCACAGTGTACAACAAATAAACTCACAACAAATTTTTCACCAGTATTCGAGTTATACATTACAGAAAACACCAATAATAAACGAAATATACACCATAGTAATGCTTATCATAGACAGACAACACGTAACGAGATACAACAAATTCATAATATGAAATACACCAACGGTAGGATAAATATGCACTGTGTACAAAAATTAAACACCCAACAGTTTTTTCACCAATATTCATGTCACAAATACCAGAAAACACCAATAATAAACGAAATATACACTACATTAATGTTTATAATGCACAAATAACATGCAATGCGATGCCCTAGTCTGAAATGTTCAAAAGAATACAGCGATGGTAGGGTTAACATGTTAGTTGACACATTGAAGTTAAATATTACAGAATACACTAATAATAAACGAAATATACCATTGCATGCTCGTTGCTTGCCTTTGTTCGCCATTTGTGTGTTTTGTAGCGAATCAGTGTTGTAGAAGACGATTCGTGTCCCTCTCAGAACGCGGTGGTGTGTTCGGCTATAGTCTCCTCGCTGTTCGTTGTTGAAGTTTCTCGTCGTTGCAGTGGTTCGCCTCGCTTTCGTCGCCGGAGCAGGAGCAAGTTGGAGAGGGTTCGCGACTTCAGGATTGTGAATAAGAAGATGGGACGGGGTGTTTACTTGCAGAAGTGGAGAAGTGATCTGTTCGAATTGAACGAATGGACAATTTTTCCCTCTATGTCCCGGTGATCTTTAAGTGAAGCGCGAAATCATCTCAATTATGGTGCGTTGGATTGGACTTGATCAACGGATGGAAAATGACCTCACCGCCTCACCTTAGTGTACAGCCGCACCTGATCTTGCCTATATATATATATATATATATATATATATATATATATATATATATATATATATATATATATAGGCTGCGAATCTTGTGCAACCCCTATATTAGATGAGCCCATGAGCCCTTTGTAATGTCCATTGATCTTATTAAAATGGATGGCTAAGATTGTAGTTAATTTAGGTGGTAATTAAATCTATTCCACAACCACAGGGATATAAGTGTAATTGGTGATTGTTAATAATTAATGCGTGATTTATGATTGGAAGGTGAATCATCCCATGCATTGGGTTCTCCAACCAAACGTAATTGCTTCTCAGCTTTACAATGGCTGATGCACGTACCCTGGCGTTACCAAGAAGCTCTGAGTGGAAGAACTAAGGACGCTAAGTGCATAGTGAACACCAACGATCTCCGGTGACCCCTTTGCAGGTATGTGTGTTCCTCATGTATTGCGTGTGCGTATTCTGTCAGCTCATTGTCTCTGGGCTAAAAATAAGAGTGTGTGGCCCGCGCAGTGTAGGGGTGTGTGGTGATCGTTGGGGTGGGGCGTTGTCGTTAGATGGGAGCAGTATAAGTTGTGTGCTGTTTACCGCGCGTAGGAGTTATTGTATGTGCATATTGGGGGTAATGATGGCTGACCGTGGGGGAATAAGGTACAAGCCGGTTGGTGCATAGACCACTCACCGCTGAATGAGTTGAGGGGTTGGGAGGGGTGGGATGGAGGATGAGCGTACAGAGGACTCAATCATCTTAAGGTTGGTGCGTAACACAATGTCAGAGCTAGATGTAGATGGTTGGTGCGTATACAGCTCAGAGCTAGTGCGTGCAGACTGGCAACATTTCGATTTGTACATTTTTGACTGTTTTTTTTTTATCCGTATTATGTATAGTTATATTGTGTAGAGTTAATAAATGTGACATGTGTGGCATGTGCTCTAGGTATGGAACAGGCGGTTGATGCGGATCATTGTGTCATGGGGCGTCGCCGAATGGGACACAGTTTTGGTTACCGGAATGCGACCAGACCATGAAACCGGTAGTAGGGCAGGTGTTTGCGACTTTGGAAGAAGGGGTTTCCTTCTACAACAACTACGCCTCTGTGAGTGGCTTTGATGTGCGACGAAGTTCAGACAAAAAGAACGCCCGTGGTGCGATAACGAAGAAATAACTTGTCTGTACCCGTGAAGGTTTCAAACAGCCGAGACCATCCGTGAGCACTAGCCCGGGACCAGTGTCCGAACCCAACCGCCGACGTCCGTCGAAACGAGTAGGATGCATGGCCAGGATTGTGTTTAAGAGGAATACTGCCGGCAATTATGCAGTGAGGACCTTCGAAGAGAGGCACGCACACTGCTTGTGCGTTGAGAGCTACAAACCATTCCTGAAGGTCAACAGGAAGCTTGATATTGGTCACCAACAGTTCATAACGAACTGCGCAAAGGTCAACGTCAGAGCAAGTAAGAGTTTCCACATATACGCGGAGCTAGTTGGGGGAGTAGAGAACGTGGGAGCTACACAGTTGGATTTCAAGAACTACCGGAGGGATGTGTTGGCATACATGCACTTAGGGGATTGTCAGATGGTCCTGTCCAAATACCTAGATATTAAGGGCGATTACAGTGACATGTACTTCGAATACGAGGCGAACGAAGTGGACCAACTGACACGAATTTTCTGGGCGGATGGGTACGCACGTAGACAATACAGTGCGTTTGGCGACGTTGTTTCGTTTGATGCGACCTACAAAACTAATAGGTACGTCATTGGACATACGTTAATACCGTGACAGTTTATATTAATTTCGCGATGTGACTCATCCCATTTTAATAGAATGCATACGGCAATGTCATTGCGTCGTTGGTTTATGCATTTGTTTGATGTTGTGTGTGCATTACGTAGTGTGTGTTTGGTCTGTGCAGACGCCTGGTCTGGGAGTATGTGACATGTGCCTCGCGTGACTGGTATTTGGCATGTGCATACGCCTGGCTTATGTGCTTTTCCCGTATGAACTCGTCCACTAATTTCTGTCTGTTTTTTGTGTCCCCCTCTTGGCAGGTACAACCTCGTTTTTGTCCCGTTCACCGGCGTCGACAACCACAAGAAATGTGTTACATTCGCAGCAGCCCTAATCTCCCGGGAGGACGTGGACTCCTACTTTTGGGCATTAAGACACTTCAAGATCGCTATGGGCGGTGCGTCACCTATCGCAATGACGGATCAAGACCCTGCAATGAAGGTCGCGGTCGTGAAGGAATTCCCGGATTCTCGCCACCGATATTGTCTGTGGCATATAATGACGAAGGTGGGGGACAAAGTAAGCCATGACTTGGCCCGGAACGAGGAGTTCCGAAAGGAGCTGAATGCCGTCGTTTGGAACGACACCGCGACAGCTGATTATTTCGATGAGGCATGGAGCAGTGTTATTGAGAAATATGGGCTGACTGACAATGCGTGGTTCAAGCGTATGTACGATGAGCGCGCATCCTGGGTTCCTGCATGCTTCGAAGGTGTTTTTATGGGGGGGCTGCTCCGTACTACATCCCGCTCCGAGGCCGAGAACAGAATTTTCAGAAGCAACACTAACAAGCACATATGTCTCACTGAATTTTTCATCAGGTTTGAGAGTACGGTCAGAAAGCAGCGGATAACCCAATCGGAGCTTACCGGCGCAAGCAATGCACAGACCCCCCCCCCCCGTTTAAGACACCACTGCCGATCGAACGAAGGGCAGCATCACTTTACACTTTAACTGTGTTCTACGATGTCCAACATGAGATCGTGGCAGGTGTTTTGATTGTCGGGTGCGGTCATGCGCCGACGGTGGCGCCGTCACCACCTATGTGGTAGAGGATGAACACGCGACGCGGTACACGTTGACTTTTGAGAATGCTACCCATACGACCCACTGCCAATGTCGACTGTACACAAGGATAGGCCTATTATGCAGGCATGTGTTTGCTGTCTTGATGTATGAGCGTATTGAGAACATACCTCCTCAGCATGTCACCCCGCGGTAGACACGCACTACCGTACAGCATGCACAAACCGAGGGTGGGCAGCCAGTGTCGGAACGCTTGACATCGTCATCACGTAGGGATTCAGAAGAGAGTAACGTGGTAAACATGTTTTATAAATGCTTAGGGCTGGCACAAGATGACCACCAGAAATTGCATCACCTCGGTGAGGTTCTCGCGTCACTAGAAACTCAGTTGTGCGAAAATAGCGACGAACAGGCTGCTGTTGCGAGGGAAAACGGACGATAATGGAGTCCTACTGTGGCGCACCAGCCCCTGAATCAGTGTCCGTGCACCCGCCCCCTGTGGTTAGCAACAAGGGGTCAGGCAAACGACTAAGGTCTGCTAGAGAGATTGCCATGAAGGGGCAAAGCAAAAAAAAAAAAACGCACATGCAAAACATGTGGTTTTGCGACTGGACACAATAGCCGAAGCTGCCCACAGAAATGACTACCGTGATACCATTTATAATATCTTAACCGGCGTTACAAACCCGTATTTGATGTCCAAACTTTTGCTACTTAAATTATGAACTCCTTTGATCTGGACTTAGTTTAGTGAAAATGTCGGTTGCTTGGAATGAACTTGATATTACCATATGATGCATCTACCGCCCAACCCCGCTATAAAAGATTATTATGAAATAAAATGAAATCTGATTATTAATATGTTTTGGTCACTGCCTGTGCGTAGTCCGCATGCGACTGTGCATGACCGACAACTGCATGGTTGTGGTTGCATACCTATCCCTATGTAATTGTTCGTTCATTATTTTATATATAAACTAATGATGATGGTTCATTGCATTTTATATACTAACCCGCTAGCTAGCCGGCATGTGCGTGTAGTGTATGTGGCATGTGCACATATGTACGCAATGGCGCATCAATGAGACTGCATGTTATGCCACGCTGGTCTGTGAGATGTTGGTATGTGCTCAGGGTGTATGAGGCGTGTGCGTGTTAGGCAAATGATTGGTCTGTGCGCTGTAGCCATGTGCGTGGGGTGTATGTGGCATGTGCACATATGTACACAATGCCGCATCAGTGCGTGTGCATGTTAGGCTACGCTGGTCTGTGCGAGGGGTGATATGTGCGTGGGGTGTATGAGGCATGTGCACATATGTGCACAAAGGGCGGGACACTGCGTGTGCGTATTAGGCAACGACTGGTCTGTGCGCTGTTGGTAGGTGCGTTGGGTGTGGTGTATGTGGCATGTGCACATATGTACACAATGGCGCATCAGTGAGACTGCATGTTAGGCCACGTTGGTATGTGCACATGCCACATCAGTGCGTGTGCGTGTTAGGCAAATGCTTGGTCTATGCGCTGTATCCATGTGCGTGGGGTGTATGTGGCATGTGCACATATGTACACAATGCCGCATCAGTGCGAGTGCATGTTAGGCTACGCAGTTCTGTGCTATGGTGATATGTGCGTGGGGTGTATGTGGCATGTGCACATATGTGCACAAAGGGTGGGACAATGCGTGTGCGTATTAGGCAGCGACTGGTCTGTGCGATGTTGGTAGGTGCGTTGGGTGTATGTGGCATGTGCACATGTGTACAGAAATGGGTGTAACAGTTCGTGTGCATGATACGCAACGGCCAGGCTGTGCATTGACGGACTACGTAAATGCGCTGGCAGGGTAGCTTGTGCTTGACAATCCTTAGGATATACATGTGCGTGTACATACATCGTTTGTGCGTAATACATGCCTGCCTGTGTGTAGATCATGCCTTATGGAACAAAACAGTATAACCGACCAGTCATAGCACCTTAGTGTTCGCCAACAAAAGATAACTTATAAGTTATAAAAATACCTAGAATCCCAAACATGGCATAACACAAAAAAAATCCTCTAATTTAACGTCATCAAATTCTTGCGAAAAAGTCATTCATTAACAGAAATAAATCAAGGAGCATCACCAACAGGGCTGGACACACGTGCAATAATCGATTTCCGGTGGGCGTTGCTATGGAACATCAGAATATCCGCCATGAATCGAACGCGTAGAGCGCTTAATGCGCGTGCGTCTCCCCTACGGAGACCGCAATCCCATGACGCATACGGCTGTCCCATGTGACTCTCCATATGTCGCATCGCAAACACGCCACAGTCTATTTTGTTGGTAGAATCGCGCCATGGTAGTCGGACCCTCCGCGGGATCAGCTGGGTGACCTTCATAAACAGCGCGCCTACTCCAGCATCCTCGAAGAAGATGGACATCAGCTCATGCTATAAAAATGAAATCTCATCAGCCAAAACAAAGACATTTAAAACTAACAACACACTCATAAGTATATACGCCCCCACATACCACAACCCCGGGCGTGTGTTTATATTTCGCTAGTGAGAGATCCCCTGCCGATGAATTATCAATGACATCCAGCAGCATGCGCCTAAAGTCCACTGAAATGACGTAATAGTGCCCAGCGTGGAGTATCGGAAAAAGAATCTGCATACCATTTGAATAATTGTTGCACCGGACGCACTAAGGGGGTAAAAGGGACGCAACTACCGGATCAGCGCTCAATATATACAGGGGAGAGCATCACTTACAATGTCAATGTCGTCCCACGCGCTGTAAGGAGAGCCCTTCAACTCGTCCACCATGCTCTCCGTGAACCATTGCAGTCGCCGCTCCCATGAAGCCTACACATCAACCGCGGTGTACAACTAACACAAATATAAAACACGTCACTTTATTATACCATTATCCAACCCGCTTCATTTGGGTGAAAATAGCTACTGGTATCCTTACCATTGCGGTTGCAGACACGAATAATCTGGACGGTGAGTCCGCGGCCTTGAATCTCTCCCTGGCATTCAACACGCACGACCAAACGTTTATTACGCCAACCAGCACTTCGTTGCCCTCCAACAGTGATACGAATTTAGCCCGACGTGCAGACCGTCCCCGAAATAAAAACAACTCCTCGTCTCTGCACGGATCAAGAATACAAAAGTGTGTGACCCCCACCCCAGTTACACGTTAGAACAATATACACAACAACGTTATTGTTACTTACATGTCACGGTCGGCGGATATAGCTAGCCAGTCATACACTGCTTGCGCATCAGGCCTGGAGCCGGGGAGGGACAGCGCAGCCCGTGCGCGTGTCCGATGGTTATATGAGTTCAGATCTAGTGTCCTAAGTGCGCGTACGTTAGGAAAATTCTGTCGGGGCTGTTTCGTTGGAGCATGACAGTGTGGAGGACTGGAAATCGCGGCAGACGGCTTGGTGGTCGGTAAACGTCGCTGCGAGGCAAACAAAATATACAACATATTAAGTATTAATATTATTAATCTAATCGTACCAAACTGAACATACTGAACATACCAATAGCGGGGTGTAATGGTTTTCTGCATTATCAATGGCAACCTCACGCCGGCCCCGTTTCGATACTCCCCGGTGAGTGCCATCATGGCCAACTGTGGCAGGGGCGCTGGGAGTAGATAGCTTAGTCGGTTTTGCGCCTACCTACAAAACAACGTAAAATGAAATGAATACTGGTGATGGGAAAGGAGAAAACACTCTGATCATGCACATGGCCACCGTGCCCCCCCTGCGCACACACATGTACCCTAACGCACAGACCGTGCGCGACTGATAGCTACTGCACAACCGCGTAAAATTATACGCACACGTTAAACATCTCTGATGCACATACCTGGTCACCAGATGCTTCGCATGCACACTGCTCGACTGTCTAGATAGCCTAACATGCACACGCATTAGCCCCAGACGCCCCACGCACTGGGCACTATGCGTGCGTGCATAGACGCACGATACACCTGTCCACCCCCCACCCCACATTCTGACTCGACGCATCGGCCGAGCCTCCCATGGACGCACAGACCCCCCCCCCCCCCCCCTCTTTTACTAGTAGGTGCACACGCCATTGCTTACCCGCGCATATATACAGCCATCATGCTTGATATGCACACGCTGTCATGCGCGCATCTACCAGAGCAGCAACGCACAAGCCTGCACGTTATCCTATTTTGCACAAAAAAGGGTCCTGTCCTCGCACCATGAAAATATTACTAAACCCCCGCCCCCCCCCCCCCCCCCCCCCCCCCCCGTGCATACCACCATACACAACAAAAAATAATATCAGTCATAGGGATGGGGGTAAAAAAAGTACAAACCACATATACACGTTATAGACATGCCAGAATATTTAAAACCTAATAACGCCTAGTTTTTCTACGCCGGCGTACCACCTTACTTACAGCATTCTTACTACCAGCTCCAGCCCCCCCGTCCTGCGGTGCACTAACGTCCGCGACCGCGCACTGACCAACCGCTGCAGACTCGGTGGAGTTATGCTGCGCCTCCCCGTCAACCTCGGGCGGCCGTACTTCTTCAGCACCTTTCTTCTGTTGAGCAGCGATAACAAACGCATCAACCGCATCTAAATTCACCGGGTTCGTCCACATCTCATCATCGCTTAGCAGTCCGGTGCCTCGCACTTCAACAGGAATTGTCACACCGGAGGATCCACCCTCGTCCGTCAATCGCATGAAGGCCCGGGCAGCAACCAGAAGCCTAACAAAGCCTTCCGTGGGCCGGGGGAGGTCGTTGTGCTGTTCCATGAAATGAACCATGTCCTCTAAAGCATCAGTTAACATGTCGGTCTTCTCAACATATATTTCAGCATCGGTCTGCAGAGATGAAACTCATTTCAGTAGCGCATATATATCACTTACTACTGCGTGCTGTTATGGCCCCATATGCACATACTACTGCCCCCTGTAAACACAGACCACATCTACCAATACCCCCCCCCCCCCCCCCCCACGTATATACAACGCACAGATGCCGTAACCATCCACACAGTATACACCAACCCCCCTCCCCCCCCCCCCCACCACATGCAAAATACTATAAAAATCTATATGCACTTACTATGCCCCCCCCCCCATTTTGGAAACACCTAACAATTTACCTTTGCGGGAACATCGACCATGAGTGGATTAATCTCCCCCTGTGCATCCAACCCCTACAGTGCATTTTAAACGAAAACAAAAAAATTAGAGAGTATCGCAAAACAACAGCATAGTGGAATGTGACCACCAAGGTACATATTTTTGCCAATACCTCCGGGATATACTGGCCAACAACCTCGCCGCATCCAAATCCACCAGCCCTAAACTCAGCAAGCTCTCTCTCCTTCAACAACTTTGTAGACCACCCCCTCAAAGCTGGCATCGCCCGGGGCACAGTCCTCTCCCCGTGTGC